GGGTTGCTATGGTCACAAGCGGCAACCCACGGTACTCAATTGAATCTTAAAGTCACCCGATGCTTTATTTTATACACGACAAAGAAACAGAAAACTATTATACATTATATATACTTCACACACGTTCGATGCCAGACTGTGTGCCAAACAAATCAAAAGAAAAACGCTCCACGATTTGCAAGTGGGCCAAATACTGCCAGGTTACCCAGGCCAAGGCAGGTGAACTAGCTTCTTAAATATGACTTTTTAAGATTATATTAGGGGAGAAGAGCAAGCATTTCAGTTTTGGCCACCAAGATAAATTTTTATCAACTGCCCCAATACTGTACACCGTATAGCCAATAAACTCCATAATGAGGATAACCGGCAAACATCACTCTAAAGTGAAGTGCATAACCATACAAGACCTATTCGAGAGCGACGCAGCACGGAATTTGGTGACGACCTAGCTGGCGATTATGATGCACAAAACATAAGACCATTAAAACTAACACATTCATTGTCGCAATCAGAATTGCCAATTGTGTCAAATAGAAAAAATGGTTAGCGATGATTATAAGTCAAACCATACACTGAGAGACTTACCACTTTTACTTTCCGACGTTTTGCAGTTCCATCCTCGTCCATCTTCAATTTTCGGCGAGTGAGGAAGCCAGCAGTGGTGGGTTCTTCCACCACACTCGTGGCATCATTTGCCTTGACACCACTTCGTTTTAAAGCCTCATCAGCTTCCCTGGAAGAGGAGTTTTGGGTGAATGAGTGGATGGGAGGAAAGATATCGGTCTTAAAAGGTTAAAAAATTTATTGATATTTGTGTAACTGGAATGCGCATGTGGACCAAATGGGATGTATGGTTGACCATAAACAAATGGATTAGACTCGCCATATTAAAATGATGACTGAATTCAGGTCAATTAGATCTTATCAAACTAAAATAGAAAAAGTAGGCACCAAGATCAAATCAGAGGTCGAGAGCAAACGCTCAATGAACTAGAATGGGAAAAGGTATCCATAATGAGACCACATAACCAATGGGGATAAACAAAATACTTTCTTGGTTGGAAACATCACGCCCCATCAGAGGCCATGAGTGATTATGCCATTGTGGGAAATAATACGGTAGGACGATAATATCCTTTACACACAGTCAATTCTCATACTTGAGCAGTTAAACATTTTTCTGAGTAAGCTATCATCAACTAATAAGCGATTATTTGTAGTGTAATTCTGGCAAGGTATATTCACGGTTGTGGTATTGTGCATTGAAAATACCGAAGAATCAAATTAGATTAGTCGGCAGATTGGCGGTTTAAAACGCTAATTGACTGCATCAATTCCGAAAAAATGTGCGAAACTATCAACGGATAGAAAGCTTAAGCACATTGTTGAATACTACTCAACAGACAATAGGCAATCAGCGGTGAACAATAAAATATTCAGTGGCATCATTCCTTAACAACGCAGTCACTCATCCGCACGGTGGACCCAGAAATGTTCTCAATCGGAAATAGTATTAAAATAAGTATTACTCCCCCCTTCACTATCTAAATACTTGCACTGACCAGTAGTGCCTACTTTTAGGTAACACAAGCGATCATACGACGGAGACTAGTCCCATGCGGACCAAAACCATTCCGGCTAGAAATGCATCCACGAGAATACTTGACGGAATGTCACCATTCTGAGTACGTAACAAGCGCCGGAGTCAGATGCAATCGATTAAGCTTGGTTCAGTAATGGGAGCAAAGACCCAAGCAACCAAAATAAAAAAACCGACTCACGAGGGAAAAGGAAAGTTCCTCCTCTCCCCAAATAAATGCAATTTTATTGTATAAGGGGTAGATCAGTAATGGAAAAGAGGAAAACTGACACCAATTCCCCAAGGAAATCAAAGAAATAGTAGTCTTACCTTAAAAACAACGCCTTAGATTCATTTGTTTCTGATCTGTCCAGTTTATCCAGCAGTATATCACTTTCCAATTTGGCAACTTTGGCGGCTTCCGCGGCTTGTGATTCTTCCTCTACACCCCCTTGTTCCAGTAAAAACTGACGATCGTAATCACGGAGTGTAAGAACCTCATGTTTGTCGGATTTTTCCTTTTTCTTCTTAGTATCACGCTCAATCCGAGCTTGATCGGTTTCGTCAGTGTGAGAAACCGCGGTCGAATTATCAGGATCTCGACTAGTGTCATCCTCGGCATCGTGGAACCATTTCTTAGAAGGATCATCCAATTGCGGATCGTTTTTGCACAGGGCTTCGTACAAAACTAAGAAATCCTCATGTTCCCGCTCGGCAGAACTGGAATAGGTATCCTCCTCATCGTCATCATCTGATGAGCTGACGCTTGATGATTCGTCATTATCCGATTGATCTACTACCGTTTGATCATCTTCCGGCTTTTCTTTTTTCAACTTCACGTCGCCATAGCGTTCTTTGAGTTTTTGCAGTTCCTCTTTCCGGCGATAAGTGTTATATCGATCAGCAAACTCTTTGTTGATTGAAAATTGCATAATCTGAATTGAGGAACGAATAGACAAAAAATCGCGGAGTCAAAAATACCCCTGAAAATTGCAATAACACCAAAATCCCCATAATACAGTGAGTGCAAAGTATTACGGATTAACATCCTTAAGTTGTCACTTCAATTTTGTTCCATGTTAAGAAAAATGTGCCGTGGTGAAACGTTAGATGGGCTAATTTGCATTTCCGGTCACGTGTTTTGCAAATCAAACATACTGATCGGTGAACTGAATCTATCGAGTTAAGCAATTTGACGTCCCATTCAAGAACGACAGTTCCATATCATTGGTGTCCAAGGACGAGATGGTATGGAAAGTACTCTTGATCAAATGTGCGAGGAATCAAACCACCTGGTAGTGATTGATCGATAAGAGATATACATGCACATTGTGACTGCTGAGAACAAATTCGGCTGGACATCGAAATTTCCGATAAAAATAGATTTGGATCATTCTCCATTATAGGTGGAAGTTCCTTCAAGATACGGCGAAAACATCATGTTGATTCGATTGTTTCGAAAAGGAATACGAGGTTTGTAGACCGTCTGGGGGGTATGGGTTTCATTTGCAACATTCTGTAATTTTACAAAGAGAGGAAACGATGCAGCGTAACCGTATTTTAGTGGGAAGACCTCCAAATGGTGTGATTTGGGTTAGGCTGAAGCATCTTACGCTTCAGGTTCCAGCAGTCATTCACAAAACACGTGGGATCACAACTGAGCGCTTCACTTGTGTAGCACATCTCTCATCAGACACTGTTTGGATACTGTACAAGTGAGGCTTCATTTCCGCATAGAAGTGTCATGTAGGTCGAGCTGCTCATATCGAGTTGGATGAGCAATAAAAGTCGAACGTTTCCAAATGGATACAACATGAATTCTATCCGTGGTCTACGGCAAAGGATCAATCGCACAGTGATGCACCGAACAGCAATTATCGAGAACAAGTTCGATTAAAAGCTGTACCAACAAACTGATTCATTGTAATTTGCTTCTAGTGAAACGACTGCCACATTGAACCCAGCATCGGAAATGAGGAGAGTATGCAAAAGAGTGATAGACAAAGTCACTTCTGTCATGAAAACGCATAATGCAACGAGGGCTGGCTTTGAGCATTAGGAAGGCCAACCCAAATTATACTCATTTTGTGTTATCCATAACAAACGGAACTAAGTCTGACTATCGCCGCTAGAATCAACCTCCAATTGGTCCACACTGCTCTGCATTTATCCCGAACTTGATACACACGCTGATCCGGCTACATTAATTTGTATCGCCTAAAAGGGGACTCGGATTGCTGAATCTGTCTGCCATCCAATTATGGTTAAATAATGCTTCTAAGAAATGGGTTACTGAACAGATGAGGTGGAATTCAATATATGGAATAACAAATATTATGCCGTCTCATCGACATACCGAGAAACATTTCGTTCTCGCATGTAAAGGTAGGTGCGCCCGCAAGTATGTATCAATTATCACATGGTTTAACTGGAGGTGTCTGTAAGGCATCAGGTGATTTGCAAGCACATTTCGCTACCCAGAATAAAGAAATGTCCATTCAGAAAAATGATATTTGCACTCTAGTTGGGCAACAAGGCCATTTTAGCGGCATACACCTACTCTACTCAAGTCCCGATTTATAGAACGGTAAGTGGTGAACCTGACTTGATTATCCGATTCGATTGCACCGTAGAGTAGTGTGTATTAGTCATAATTCAATCGAGTGTCCACATGACTTATACCGTGAGATGGGGCTAATGTGTACGAGCTAGATTGTGGGGGATACCAAGGTTCAAAGAGAGCAGTCGATCAAGAAGCAGACATGAGAGAGACTTGAATACCGGGAAAGGTGGCCATTATTATGAGAAATGTACTTACTGACCACGGAGGGCATAATTTATCAATTGTGCAAAAAAATGTCCTCAAAAAGGTAAACTGTAGTAATGCCGTCGGTGAGATTTTCTCGTTCCTTCACCTGAATCATTCAAACAATTATAGCACTGTTATCGTACACTTTAGTGTGATGAACAGCAGACGGGGTAAACCCCATAGTCACGAGAACCTGCTGTTCATTGATGGAAACCGGTGACCTAAGCCCCGGAGTGGCGAACCATATAAGATCTCTATAGGTTAGGCGTGGTATTGAACCGGGCGACAGCAAAGCTGCGTACCACTAGAGTTGGGTGGCAAGGCTCGAACTTCGGACCATAGGGTCCAAAGCACGCCGGTGACAGTGACTAAACCACTGTCACCATCACACCTATTAGCATCCAAAAAAGGATGTTTACTAAAATTAACAGCATCTTGACGGTATAACTGTATCTTAATCGAGCACTAGTGCACCGAAAACCCGATGATGAACTAAGCAAACAAAACAACTTAGAGAACCTCATGAATTAATTTAAATAGTTAGTAAACCAATGCTATGAACGGAAAGTGCATGTGGGAGCAACAGCTGCAAATAATAACGCCAATGGGTCCCCATCACGGAAAACATTCCACTTGGTGCAAAACGAGAAAAGTGCATCATCGTCTCAGAGCAAGGGAATATTCTATATTTCTCTCATAGAGCAGGCTCAGAGAGACTATATTCAATCTACCACGCTTGTTGACTTGCGGACGCAGTGTGGGAACTGCGAGCATAGTTTCCGAAACAGGTTGAGTGTACACATGTGATGAGATAAATAGAAGGCGGTAGGCGGCGCTACCTCTTGTTTGCAACAGCGAAATCTGTTCAATGACACCAATGCGTTACGTTCATTGAGGCCACATTACGATCAAATTCAGGACTAACAGCACCAAGAATCACAGACAGGATGTTACGAGCTGGGCGCAAGATATTTCAGGTTTCGCCTCATTGCTAAGCTGATTTTCGCATCTTGGGTCTGTTCTGTTTGGTCAAATGAGTGGTTTGTGGCTGAGATAATAAATACTACAAAGAAGGAATTCCTTATAAATGTGTGCCGAGTTTACATGACGTATTCATAGTATTAAGCGATGAATAAACAAACTCAAATGACTATTCGTTCAAACAAACAAAAATGCCCGTAAACGGTAGGAATTAATGGGAGAGCGGAGTTGGCGTAGACCAGGTAACAGATTCCATTTCTGATGGGCCATCCTTTAGACTTTACCGTCATGCACAACCCGCAGTAAATTATAAACTGGAGTTTGGCTCTTGTTAGAGCTCATTAGTGGTACATACTCTCCGGGACTCGTTATATGGAAAGCATGTGTGACCATAGTCAAGTAGCCCATTTGACTCGATAGCAAAGAAAGATTCAGCCTACAAACCAAGGGAAGATTTACGATGACCAACAAAGAGCACTGGACAACTGTTTCACCCTATTTGGTACTCGTCAACACTGCATGTCCCTGTCAGAACAAAACCATCAACAATCGAATAGATTATTCCAAATTGGACAATCTTAAAGACTCGGTGTATTTATTGTTAACAAAATCGGAAGTCTCTTATTAGTTCAGGTTCCCCTGAAAGAGCATAATTTAGGATTTAAAAGATTCTACTCGATATTCCAGTAAACACGGAACAATACACAACACACAGAGCTGATAAATATCAGACTTGGAATCACTCATCAGAACAAGGAATTCATTAGCAAGAGAAATGTATGTACTAGCAAGAACGTATCAAGCAGACAGACTGAGAACAGTTGGTGAGCTAATACAAATAAAGTAGAAGAAAAGAAGAACGAGCGTCAGAGGGGGGGGGGCAGGGAAAGAGAGGAAACAGATCGATCCCGACTATGTACGAACAGTGCAGGTGGAAAGTGTGCGTATGCTAGGGACAAGAAGCAGTTATGATTGTCCATACAGAATTGTGCCATCCAGTTTGATATGCATAATAATAATGATTATTATAATTGCGCATGGGCATTCGAAAACATCAAATGGAAATTGAGCAAACTCAGGTCAATGAGTCACATTGGAACGGGACAAAAGCGCGAATTAAAAAACGCGTGGTTCATTTACTGCTTCGGAGGCAGAAGCATGAGGAAGAACATAGTAGGCAGAAAAGAGCAAAAGATAGAACTGTGATTGGGCAAGAATCCATGCACATGAAATAACAGATATGTATACGTGAAATAGAACAGTTGCGCAACCGCGCATCAGTTTGTGCAAATAGAATAAAAAAGACAAATGCATATCCAATACAATCACAAAACGCAATAATTGTCCCCATAAATTGCATTCTCCTACGAAAGTCCCCAGGGTTTTGACTAGGTGACTGGAAAGTGAAAAAGAATAAACAGGTGCGATATGCGTATCGGTCACTGAGTGGAATGGTGAAACTGAGACGTACACAAGTGAGTGAATTCCCCTCGAAGGAATAAAAGTCAATGCACAGCCGAAAGTTCATTCCACGATTAAGTAGTCTAGCAGTTTGACATAGGCATCTCCTTCATCTGTTTTATTTGAATCCCTGGTCAGAGGATCACCAAATCCATCAGGTCCACTGGTGAAACGAGCAAACACGGATAACTGGCCGAGAAATTCGCCCACTTGGATCTTGCCGGTCCAACGCCCAGGGGGAGTGGTTGGAGTGAGGAAGAACCACTCGGTTTCATTAATGACTACAGCTACAGAATCGTATTGTGGTGCATCTAACCGGAAAGTGTACTGTCGATTCACCGACAGACGTTGACAAAGCGGCTCCAACAGGCGACAATGAACCCACCAGAATGTTTGTCTGGGAAATGCGGGCACCGCAGACGGGGAGGCAGGTGTTTTGCGTACATCTATAAGAATTCGATACACACACTCCAAGTGATCTGTGTCTGAGTCTGCATTGGATGAAGCATATATGGTCAGATAGTAAAAACCTTCAATTGGCATGCGGACATGGTAATATGCGTTCACTGCTGGACCATGGGAACTGCTTTTCGGTGGGCGCATCTGAAGTAACGCGTAGCTGTCACAATCAACCATTTGATGTCCGGGGCGATCGAAAGATTTCAACTGATGACAAATCTGTAAAGCGTGAAAGAGAAGCAAATGCGAAATGGCATTATAGAGCGAAACTGTCACAATATATAGAACCACAGGACCAGAAGTTATTGGAATAACGTGTACAAGTATACAAGAGCGATACAATTTTTAGTTCAGTTTTCCAGCTTATGCAGTCATCAACCTTGGTCTGCCCTGCGACGGTTTTGGTTGCTAACAATGAGGAAGGAGTTCCAAAGCTGAGAGAAATACCAAGATACAAATACACAGAGAAAGTGAACTAAATTTGCGCAGGAAATGAGTAGATGAATGAGCACCACTGTTTACCACATTCAGTTCTATCATCTGTCTCTAACTGTGGGCATGATCGATCGCAGAAAGCTCAACACAATTTACATAAGTGAGTCCCTTGGGTCGGGTTTTTATACCCACATGGCAGAGTTTATCAGACATTCGTAACACACCCCAGCTGCCACAATCCATGGAGAATTGATTGCTTCAGTTGATGATCGCAAATGAATTTTGGATTTACCAGGGTCAATTGAACTTCATTTATCTGTGATAAGAGTAGCGTCTACAAAACTTTGTTGGATTTCCGCACGTCCTTATGAAAAATACAATTCTCTGGCGGCCAGGCTTATCTCACTATTCACCAACATCACCAAACTGTGCACGTTGTTGTTATTCGAAAGGCGTTTGAGATGATATCAAACAAAAGCTGAACCGAGGCCGGTTAATTACTCTATAGAGATAAAATCTATGTTGAACTGAACAAAAGACAAATTTGGCAGGGGTAGTGACTTTCCAAGTCTCTACTGTGCATCACATAAGCTTTTATATTCGTACTGAATACGAAATTACACAGAACGAGAAAAAAAATTAAAATCCTGGGATTCTTGGTGCAAAAGACACAAATACTATGATGACACAGTGGTCGAAATGTGAGGACAGTGACACAAATCAGGAAGTTAAGAGCAGATACCTTCAATCCGGGAGCAATGGCAAATGGAATCCGGAGTGGATCGGAACTGGTATGTACGAACAAAGCCCGACCACCGCTGGAGCTTCGTTCAGCACACATAGAAACACCCAAAGTTCGCGCGGCAGGTGTCGGCCCAAGGAACCCGACCTCGGGAATTCGACCCATCACAACTAAACGGGAGTAATTGTGTTCGGCACATTGTATCTGCCAAACACCATTAAAATAGATGGAGGTTTTTGAGGGAGGATATAGAGAAGACCGAGTGATTATGGACGGAAATAGGCATTTAAGGTGAATAAAAATTGATTTTGTGGTAAAAGTTGTAAGCATATAATAACCAGCAGAGTTGAGATCGTCATCCAAGTTATAAATTGGATCAATAGATGACGATATCACCAAACTCGGTGAAAATGCGCACGAAATGGCGATTGAAGGAGGTATTTCGGTAAGGTATGCGCTTTGGTTCACCTAAGTGTTTTTCCAAGACTGACAGAAAGCACTATCACGGATGATCACTGAGATGTAGGCAACAACCTTGCCTACGTGTGAACTAATGCAACAATTGGCGGTGGCTTCAGTGTGCAGATCAATGGAGAAAGCCAGGCTAGCGTTCGGTAACCTGAGACATTTGTGGGCCCAAGGAACTTGTTTCAAGGAGTTTAACCGAAAAGATATTTGTTGAACAGATGATGCAACATAACGGCAATAGTGACATTGAGGAAAACAATCCAGATGAAACTTCTAGATAAACTCTAGGAAATATACAAATCTGAACCATATATCGGTGTATGATGAATAAAACACTGAACACTGCTTAGTGGTCTCCTGGACTATCTAGAGCTTGTAAAATAGTGACCCCAGCCATGCGGAACCCGAGTGGCACACCCAATTGCCAATGTACAACGACCATTTGAGCTTGATCTTGTTCAACTTAGGTGACTCATCTAACGGGTTTTGATTGGGACACCATGAGCGGAAACAGACTGAAAGGTTGATCCAAACGACGTTCGCCGGTATGCATTGGAAAGGAACGGATGCCTATTGATTTTGGTTCATAAACACTGATTCATTACATTTCCGGTGTGTTTACGCAGGCAACGACGGACCGTGTCCAAACTTTTCATAACAAACAAAAGCTCAGCTAACATTGGTACTTCATTTCAATTGTTGGAACCCCTAAATTAGCAAACAGATGCCTTGGTTTCGGTCGGAAAACGGAAGCAACTTATCCATGGAGAAAGTGAGTGCATATGGGAACGTCATTGAGTTTGGCATTCAGCCAGGTGTTATGTACGTTTTGTGAACTGGGAATAATATTTGATGAAATATCCGAAGCCAGACGAATTTTGTAAGTACCATGCAATAACTTAAAACAGAGATCACACAACGCACATAAATAGAGGAAGAGAAGCCAAGAGATGAAACGGATATCAAGGTTTGGAAACTAATGGGGATATCGATCACAGAAGTCCAACACGTTCGACGATGGAAACAGTGTGACAACAGAACAAATTTATTACAGCGCAATTGTGTCCACCTGACGCCACCGATTATGATATCAAAGTGGAAGAACAAACGCTGCATTGGGCGTTCTATCCATAATGATTATGTTCAGTTCAGTTCAGTTTGAACAACCATTAACAATGCACTTTCGTGCGCCGGTTTTGGTT